CTCTCGAGACTTTAGCTCCACTCCTCACCACACTCCAGCCATATGTACAAGGATATAAGAATGAAGGAGTTCGACGTGGGATACAAGGGCAGCGTGCGATGCTGACTCTTAGAGCAAAAGCTGGTCGCAATAGAACGGGCTGCGCAGACGACTCCGGTTCTCGTTGGCTTTTTGGCGCAGGCGCGTCGCATCGATGCGCTTGGTCTCGAGCAGCACGGCAAACACGGCTGCTTGGACCTCGCTGTCGTTGTCGTCAAGGTGCACGAAGAGCGCGTCCATCGAGTAGTCGATGATGGTGCCTTGGAAATGCGCGGTGGGCGCTGCGCGAAGAAACTCGACAAACGTGGCGCACGCAGCCTTGCGCACGAGGTCGTTGCTGTCGTCAAGGCGCTTGAGCAGATCGTGGTACAGCTGCGCCACGGGCTCCTCTACACCCCCAAAGTATCAATCTTTCAATCTTTCAAAACAGAAAATCCCACGGCCAAGCGCATTCGGCAGCGCAACAAAGAGAAACTGCAGCGCGAGGCACACGAGCTGGCGCGTCTTGGCGTCGCCATCGTCCAGTGCGGCCTTGAGCACCGGCAGCATGACCGGCGCGGCTTCAAAGAGACACGGCGTCGTCGCCAGCCCCTGCCGCAAGAGCGTGTACGTGCACGCCATCGCGACCTTGCTACAGAATACGCGATATTGGGACTTGAAAGATTGATAGATACGCACCGGATCGTGGCCGCGACCTTGCCGCCCTGCCACACAATGTTGGGCGTGATGGCCTTGACCAAAAGCGTCGACGCAAAAGGCTGAAATGCCTATCGACACCCTTTGTATCAACTTTTTGTATCAACCACACAAGACATACGGGCGCCATCTCGGGGTTCCCGAGCATAGTTTCCAAAAGCGCCAAGAAGGCGAGCCGGACGTCGGCGTCGCGGGCCGGGTCGAGGTGGCGCAACAGCACGGGCAGAAGCACGGGCAGCGCCGCACCACACGCCTACACCGCGCTAACAAGTGCAATACAAAACCGCGCGTACCTTGCCACCCCGACGCGCCAACGAGTCAAAGAGCACTCGGTGCGGCGACGCCTTAGACCACACCGCGTTCTTGGCGCTGATCGTCTCGACGAGCGGCGATAAAAACCGAAGATACAGTCCCTACGCCACCAATATTCCGTCGTCGAGTTGCAGCAGCCACCACCGTAGTGCTTGTACCGGCACGTCGAGCTGCAGTGCGGTCGCGAGTGCCAATAGCCCGTTGGTCGCCTACGATCCAAGGTAGAAGATCATGCGAGGGACGGTCACACACGGCCTACCGTGTCAAACGCCGTCGAATCCTCGGGTGTCGACGCAATCATTTGGCTCAACACCCAAAAGAGCCGGAATCCCCAGGAGTCATGGGTCGCTAAGAGCGGCGCGCCCGTCGTCACGATCGTCGCTGTCAAAAGGGAGAGCTTTTCCTGGAGCTCGGGCGCGTCGGCCTCGCGCAGCCCCGCATCGGCCAAGGCCTCCGTGATGCGCTAGGCGATAGAGTATGAGTTGCATTTGCACAAATGTCGACGACGCGCTACCTCCATGTGGGGCAAAATCGTCGGCTGCGCCATGCCCGCGATCGCCATCGAGAGCAGCACGAGCCCGTTCGTGCGGTGGTGCGACGTGTCCTGGCCCGGAAGCCGTCCAGCAGCCTATTAGACCTGCTTGTGAGAGTCCACAACCACGGCAAAAGCCGGTTTTACGAGCGGGAGCAAGCTCGAAAAGATCAAGTCGGGGTTGGCGAAGTGACCGACGACCGCCATCGCCGACTGGACGCTCGTGACAACCACCGGTTCGTCGTCCCGACACGTCTTGGCGAGAGCCGCCAAGATCGCAGCGACATGCGCATCGGCCGCGTCTTCTGCAAGCACCAGCACGACCCGCAATATCGACGTGGCCTTTTCCCGCGTCTGGACCTAGAGGACATCAACGTGTCACTTGCGATAGTCCAATCTCAAAAGCAACGTTATAAAAAAAGACGTACCGTCCAGTCGGCGCACTGGTCCAAGAGCGACGGCAACAGCTGCGCAAGGAGCCGACGCGTCACGAGGCGTGCGCCGAGCGGGGGCCGCGCCGTGAAGGGCGGTGTCACCACCGCCGCCATGCTCTCGTCCACATCGTCGTGCTCGGCATGCAGCGGATCCGAGACCCAGAGCGTACTGAGCTGCCCGAGGAGAACCAAGCTGTGACTTTGCACTTCGGGCGACTCGTCTGCGAGCCCCGACAAGAAGAGCGGCAAGAGCGCCGCCTCAAACGCGCGGAGCTCGTCGATGCGGAGGCACCACGTGGCCATGGCCTGCACGAGCTGCTTGCGCACGGCGGCCGACCGATCGAACATGACGCGGCTCAAGTTGGGCAGCAGTACGTCCTTCATGAGCTCGGGCAGCGTCGTTGAGCCACAGGGCACGACGACCTCGAGCGCCTATTCGAATCGTTCATGCTGTTCCTACCGAGGCGCTACCTGGAGCGTGCAGAGGCGAATTCGGGCGTGCTGGTGACTCAAGTTCATGGTCAGCGGCCGCGCCAGCGTCGCGAGGTGCATCTTGACCTGCGCCGGCCACTTGGCGGCGAGGACCAAGATGGCGTCGCAGCACGCTTTTTTCGCATCTGGGAACGGGTCGGTCGCAGTCTTGGCGAGGGTCTCCATGACATCGCCGATCGAAGTCGTAAACGTGCTGTCGTCAGGCATGGCGCCGTGCAGCACGAGGGCGAGAAGATCGAGCAGCTGGAGGCGAAGCTCCTCGGCGCCTTCGGGAAACGGCGCCTTGCCGATGCGCGCGTGGATCGCTACGACAAGCGCCTTCTCCCGCCCGTCGCCCGCGATCGCGCCCAGCTTGGCGTACTCGGTGCACGTGCGGATGCCGAGCTCGCGGTTCTTCTCGATCGGGTCGGCGAAGCAGCGGACGAGCGGCTCAAAGAGGTGCGACTGGAAGAAGCTCACGAGGTGGCCTTGGCCAAACTTGGCCGCAAGCTCCGCGACCATGCTGAGCTTCTCGAGCGACCGCTTGCGCACCGAGCGCTGCGGGTCCGCCAAGCAGTTGACGTCGCGCTGGAGCCACTTGCCAACGTCCGAGGTCTCCATCCTATCGCCGGACCGTCGCAAATCTATTGGATCCAGAAAACCGCAAATGGCGACGCTAGATTCGGCACTGCCATATTTAAAACACGTGCAAGGTGGCATATTGTCCCATTGGGCACCAGCAGCGACAATGCGTCCGCGCCAGTGTGGCTATATGCGCAGCTACTTCCGCACGCGTCAGTGGCAAGAGGCCATGGTGCCGCAACGGAAGCGCGCTCATCGGAAACACGAGGTGTGTCGTCATGCCCAAGGTGGGTGGTGGCGGCTTGTAGCGTGCATGGGCAGTGACTCCAGATGCAAAGCCTTGCATTGCCGAGGCGGTGGCTTCCATGACCTCTCTGCCCGGCGATGGTGGCATGCACGTCAACGACTTCATCGCCGCACCGAGTCTCATAGCGCCAGCCAGTTCGCCATCAAGCCAGATCCCGTGCCCTGCGTAGCACTGCTCTATCAAAGCCGAGCGAGCACAGAACGATGCTTGTCTCCACCCAGGTCTCCACCATACGTTGGTCGCTCTTCTTGTCGGTGAGCACGAGTTGTGCATCAGCAGCACGTCATTGCTGCGAGCGGGTGTGTGCTGCTGCCACGCGTGGAGTGTCGGGCTCCGAGGTGGCATGTGCCGAGTCCTAATTGGCCGCAATATATCCTGATTTCAAACGCCAGTTTCAGAATACAAAGATCCAGTGTATCTTGCACCTTTGGGATCGAGGGCTCCAATCAGGGACGTTAGGATTTTGGCCAATCAGAAGCGTCCACCACATAATTCCTGTCTTCATAACGCAATTCGCCAGCATGAGCACGACCAAGAAGGACGAGACGATTGCGGCGCCGCTCGCGCCCATGAACAGCATGGCCATGATGGCGGCCAAGATGAAGGACGTCATGAACCTGCGCAACCTCCGCGGCGTCGTGAGCTTCTTCGGCCTTGGCGAGCCCAAGCCGTTCGAGGTCCCGGCCAAGGAGATCGCGCTCTCGCGCCTCCGGAAGAACATGCTCTACTTCGCCACCAACTACATGCTTGTCGTTGCCTGCGTTGGCTTTCTCTCCATGTATTACGCTATCCATAGCCCGTCTGTCCTCACCTCATGCGACGCTTGTAGCTTGATGAACCCGTTCTTCCTCTTCATCCTCATGTGCATTGCCGCCGGCTGGTACTACGTGGCGCAGATCACGGCCAACGAGACGGAAGAGAACCCGTTCAAGATTGGCGGCCGGTCCGTGAGCGCGTCGCAGCGCAACGTGGGCATGCTCGCTGGTACGCACAGCCTCCGCTTGCATGGTCTCATCCTCGTGCATGTAGTGACCGGCGTCCTCGTCGTGTACTTTGGCGGCTCGGTCCTATTTAGCATCTTCTCCGTGAGGTACAGAGACCGTCCTTTGCGCGCTAGGCATGTAGCTCATGATGGACGTAGCACGTTCCTGGCCATTGCCCACGCGTTCTTGCGCAACTCCAACATCCCCGAAGAAGAGGACGACTTGGGCTTTGACGTCGCCGCCGAAGTCTAGGCTCATCATCAAGATTGCGTCGACAGCCCGAGCACAACGACTCTATTTTAACGCACCAACACGCCACGCCGTCGTGGCATCCTCCGCTAGTGTCCTCCTCTATCTGGACAGTGTGATTGTTAATACGCAGCAGAACTCGACCATCCTGGGCAAAACGCTTGCGCTGGCACTGGCAATGTTACTGACAGCACGTTGGCTTGGCTGGACCCTGGATACGCGTCCTCTTGACGAGCGTGTCTCTACTTGTAGCGATCGAATTTTGGCGCTTCAGCCGTGTCGTACTGTCTAGACTCGGCACATGCCGAATATAGCGTCCGCCGTCGGACCAATCAAAAGCGCCTACGTGTCTTTTTCAGCCAATCGCGTGGGGCGATGCCACCAGTTTGCGCTTGAGATCTGAGTTTGCACCATGGCGGCCGAGTGGGTCAACCCGTCGACCCGCGACGTCTTTGCCACGCCGACGACGAGCGATGGCCGCGCAGTCTTTAAGCCTGCGTATACGCTCGAGGTTGACGTCGCCTTGGACGTCAACGCTGCCTTTGACCTCTGGATCAATGGCATCTGGGTGCAGGTAGACAATCCTCCATGGCATGTCATCCGACGGTATGTAGGGCGGGCTCTCGCTGCTCAAGCCGCCCGTGTCGCTCGAGACGCCAGGCGTCGGCCGCGGCCGCATTGGCTGCACACGCCGCGTCCTTGGTGGCGCGGTTCGCGAGCACATTCTCGACGCCGGCGTCCCATCGTCGACCAAGCAAGTCGCGTCCGTGCTCTACACTGTCGTGACGATGCCGTTGCCGTTCCACGAGTACAAGGCGCTCGTCGAGTTTGAGCCGCGTACTGTCATTGACGGATCGCCCTGCACACGCGTGCGCTGGCGCGGCTGCGTCGCGCCCAAGGCGTGGGACCTCTACGGCATCGCGTGCTGGTTCGTCTGCGTCTTCTTCCGCCTCGCCGTGTCGCCCATGCTCTCGAGCTACGCGGCCCACGCCGCCAAGACCAAGTAACATAACAGCAAGCATGCAGCAAGACAGCAAATAGTACTACGAGAAAAGCGTAAATTGGTGTTTGCCATCATGTCGCGTCTACTGGTCCTTCTTGGCCTCGGCGGGCGTGGCGTCCTTGGATTCTTCCTCGTCTTCTTCCGAGTAGGCGAGGAGCTCCTTGAGCTCGCCGCGGGCAAGGGCCGTCAGCAGTGACGACCCGAGGCAGGCGGGCACGAGGTACAGGAGCGCGGGTTGCGCCGCGTTGAAGACGATCATGACGACGACAGTGGCCACGAGCCCGAGCACGTAAAAGAGAATGTTGATGTGGAAGTACGGCTTGGGAAACGCGTCGCCGGCCGTCGTTGCTTTCGCCATGTGGGCGTCAAAGCGGAGGAGGAGCGCGACAAAGATGCCAGGAATCACAATGTCGCCGAGGCCCAGGATCGAAAACTTGGCCTTCTCGGTCGCGGTCGCAAATGCCCGCGGGAAGAGGAGCTTGATCGGTCCGTCAAACTTGGTGGCGACCGTGACCATGACGTCGGTGCCAAAGACCCAGAAAATATCGTAGAAAAAGAGGCCGCAGAGAAGGATCGCGCCGACCTTATAGCTGCCAAGCGAGAGCGACTCGATGCCCTTGATCGAGAGCGAGATGCCAAAGATGTTGTTGAGCACAAAGTGCTTGGTCTGGAACCAAGCGGCCGCAAAGAGGGCCGCAAGGACGCCAGTGACGCACCACGACGGCGTCACGTCGAGCACGTGCGCGCCAAAGTAGGGCAACGCGATCGAGCGCTTGTAGTGGCGCTCTGTCTCGGAGAAGGCGACGGCGCGGACGAGCGGCGAGAAGGCTTCCGTGAGCGAGTACGTGCCAATCAAGGCAAAGTACGACGTCAAGAGGAGGTTGACCATGTCCTTGTCGAAAAACTTGAAGAGGATGTAGAGCCCGAGCAGCATGCACGAGCCGACGACGGGAAACATGTACGCGTCCTCCTTGGTCATCGCCTCGTCGTTCTTCTCGCCGGCCGCATCGCGCTTCTGCTTGAGCTTGAGGCTCAAGGTCGCACCAATGTACACGATCGACGTCGCCGAGATGATGAGCTGCGCGTTCACAGGCACGAGCACGAAGTTGGACGCGGCCGTGAGCGCGAGGAGCGCCACGTAGCACGCGCTCTGGACCGAGTTGAGCATTCTGCCAAATGACCAGGCCATGATGTGGTCGTCCGGATCCACGCCACGTGGACCCAAGCGTATCCGGATACTAAGTAGGACGGGGTTTCGCTTGGATCGCGGACCGGAGTTTAAACAAATGGGTTAAACGCGCCGTCGCCAGCACGAAGAAAACGTTGACGATGGACCCTCGCTACCTCGTTATCGGTACCGCTCTATGGTATGCGTATGGAAATGCGAGCGCGTCCTTCACTGCCACGGGCATGGTCACGGTATCGTTGAAGCCATCGTTGCTGTAGAGAATGTCCGGATGGAACCCGTTCGATCGCCGCCATACGATGGACCGCCTTAACCGCCTTCAGTCATTCAGCTCAAGGGGGCCGCTAGGAAGATCGAGGAGGATGACCTGTATATGAGAGCATCGGTCCTATGCCTGGCTTGTAAAGTACTAGTGCGTTGCTGTCAAATCGTTGTTCTGGCGCGAAAGGTTGTTGGCGTGTGTTCATTGGCTGCTTTTGTTTAACGCCTTGGGTTTAATGCAGCGTTAATTGTTTAAACACGGACAGCCACGCAAGCATGGCCGAGTCCACCGAGCCGGCCGCGCCCAAGAGGAAGTACAAGGCCAAGGTCACGCCGCTGGCCTCCGATGAGAACATGACGCTGGCAAGGAAGCGCTCAAAGGAGAAGGCCATCGAGCGGGCCAAGGCGAGGGCCGAGGCGAAGGCCAAGCGCGAGCTGCCACCCGAGGAGCGGCCGATGACCATTGCCAATATCGTCGGGTCCTTTCACTTGGGCGTCAAGATCGATCTCAAGGAGCTCGTGCTCAAGGCGCGCAACGTCGCTTACAACCCGCGGGTACGTAGCGCGATGCAGCGTCGTATCCTCGTCTTGACGTCGTCCTAGCGGTTCAGCGGGGCGTCCATGCGTCTTCAAGACCCCAAGGCAACCGGCGTCTTCTTCTGCTCTGGCAAGGTACAGACGATCTCTTTTGCTCGCTGCAAGCTACAGCCCATTGCATGCATTAGGTCGTCATGCTCGGGCTCACGTCGGAAGAAGCGTTCCGGACGACGGCCGACCGCCTCCTCTCCATCGTCCAGGTATTGCCATAGACAGCGTCGTCTTCACGTACGATCATGCTACGAACAGAAAATCGGCTACGAAGATGCAGCTATTCACTACTTGATGATCCACAACGTCACGGCGTCCGGCTGCGTCGGGTACCGCATCCGCCTCGAAGGACTCCACAACGAACACTACCAGTTCAGCACCGTACGCTCCATTGCATCAAAGAACGCTCCTCATCTCTACCTCCACTAGTATGAGCCCGAGCTCTTCCATGGTCTCTACTACCGCATGATGGAGCCCCGTGTGTGCTTCATCATCTTCGTCACCGGCACCGTCACCGCATGCGGCGCCGAGGTACGCTTCTTGTCATACATACGTCGTACCAACAGTGCTGTCTATAGTCGTGGGAAGACGTCCTCGAAGGCTTTGAGAAGCTGCTGCCAGCGCTCGAACAGTTCCGGCTCCGTCAGCTGCCCAATTAGACGTCAAACGCCCAAAGATGAGCGCTGTACCATACGACACACTCTATTGCCGCTCTGCGCATTGGTCGAAGGCCCCTTTAACGCAATGTAGACCATCTATTTAACCCATTTACAGTCTTTGCGACTGTCCATGCCTCGGTGCTCGGCACCAGGATGGACCGATACTGTGTCGACAAACGAGTCATCGATGGTCCTCGGACGGTCAGAGGGGCAGTTTGTCGTACTCGGGCGCTGCGCTGGCCTCTACATCTCGCGCACTCGTGTTGCGGCAGGCTGCGTGCAAAAGCGAGCTGCTATTACACGTTGGTATGGCTTTTGAGTACCATCTATGGAGCGCTGTCGTGGCGCATACCTGACGGCCCATGCTGCAAACCAGAGCGAGCCACCGACAGCGAGGACTGCGATGAGGAAGCAGACAAGGACAAACATGTAGCCAGCGAAAAAGGCCACGGCGTTGCGTCGCGTACGCTCCAAGAGGCTGTCCATGGACGGGACGGTGAACGGCTTGCGGTCATCTACACGACGAATGATCATGCGCTGGTCATTGCTGACGCCGCCACGTACCAAGGCCCCAGAAGTAGCGCAGCTTCCGAAGGGCGACTCGTCGCTGTCTCCGCGGGGCGCGGGGCGTAAGCAGGACCTCTTCGTCGTCGGCGATCATCATCGTGTCTCGTGCTGTTGCTTGTCGCTCGCAATTTGACAGAACACAGCGAAACGCTTGGGGCTGTCGCCCGTTCATTGGCTCGAGTCGACCAATCACAGCGATGGAAGCTCGTCGAAATTTTGTCCCAGTGCGCGCGTTTCAAGTGCGCCCTTCGATCCTGTCGTTTGATTGGTGTATCGATTCTCTAGTGTGGTGTGTTGCCAGGACGCACGCCAAATTCGCGCATCCCTACTTGAGTCAGCCGTGCGTGGCGACACGCAGACAAATTTCCAACGTGCGCCATTTATAACGAAACAAAAAGTGGCTAAATGTGGTGCTCGTCGTCGCGCGTGATGAGGTGGCCATGCCCGTGCGAGTCGTCTTCGTACGAAGATGAGAGCTCGTGGTATCTGTCTTCGAGCTCCTCGTAGGTCGCGAGCGCTTGGTTGCGCATGATCGCATGCAGCATGATCAAAAAGAGACTAGTTCGACATCAAAACAAGATTCTAGACAAATGTCATCGTACCTCACAATCACAATGTACAAGAGCAGAGGTCCGCCAAAGATGATGACCAGAATGACAGAAGCTAGCACATTTCTTGATGAGCAAACCACATATTTCGCGGGTTGGCATACCAAGCATCATGCACGTATCGCGCTGGCTCGGCGTCGTGGGCCCCCCAAGGATGATCACGGGGTTGCCCGACGTCTCGTTGGCCGTGAGGTAGTTGCAGTACGCCCATCCAGCGGCGATCAGCGTCAAAATGATCATGAACATGGGGTTCATGAGCCTACGAACGAAGCGACGATCATGCGAATGCAGGTGACGGCGGTGACGTACGCGTGTTCGAACCCGAGGAGCATTGTGATCATAAAGTAGTTGGACGAGTAATACATAAGGTTCGACTGCGTTCGGCACGAGAGCTCACAGCGGTCGCGCGGCACGTTGAAGGGCTCAACATCGCCTAGCCACACATTTGCACCGAGTTTCGACTAGTTGGAGCTACGTACCAAAACCAAAGAAGCTGTAAAAGCCCCGAAAGTTGCGCAGGTCGATGAGGTCCCGGACCTGCAGCTGGAGCAGGTACATGCGGTCGAGCGGCGACTTGGCGAGGTTGTTCCCGCGGGGCATGCGCGTCGGCATTTTGCTCAGCGCTACGTCAAGACAAAATGAGGCGTCCCTGCCAGTGTGGGGCGAGAGAGAAGACAGCCACGTGGTGCCGCCACGATTATACCGCTAAAATTTTACGGATACAAAGCGCAAGACAACTTTGTCACGCCCGTCGACGGTTTCAGCGTGTCATAGACATCCCTTGCGTTCGATTGGTCAAAATGAGCCGTGGGGTTGGCGCCACTTTTGAGGGGCTACGATGATGTGGCTGGCGACTGACACGCATGAGGTTGACACTGACGTCCGATGGACGATTGTGTAGGCGGTCGACGCGTCAAGTCTCTCTTCAAGCGGCTCTGTCACTTGCGTGCGCGGTCTAGAGCTAATCTCGTTGTCCTTTGGCATGACCTTCAGTACATGTACGTCTTGGAGGGTGAGTACATTTCGGACTCCCAAGACCGTTCAACTATGCTCGAGCAGTGGTGTACTTAACCTGCACCACTCGCAATGCTTGGTCGCGGCGCTGTGGTACTGCATGGTTGCCACGATGTAGGATTCGAATCTCCCCGAGCATTGGAGTTACCTTGGATTGCGTGTTCGTTGTCGTACGTCTCCTAGTCATCTCTCATTTTGTGCGTGTGTTGTCAATTTGGTGGTTGCCCCAAGCTGGACAGGAGCTAGTGGGTTATCGGGCCTGAAAGTGCCATGTTTGGTGCAAGGGATGAGGCTTCAGCTACACCATATCTCTGGGCTTGACGAGAAATCGATTGAGCTCCAAGCGGTAAATACGAGGTGCATGCATCATATCACAGCGTCTTCCTTGGCTGATGAACCACGCGTGTCATATAACTAGAGAGCGTACCGTGCGAGATAGAATTTGGAGCCCTCAGTCGCACAGGTACCAAGCCGACGAGAAGCCGCGATTCTGGCGCTTGTTTGCGGCGCTACATTCGTAGATTCCGGAGAACTTCATGCCCATTTGATTGGCTCATTATCGTGTACCAAGCTCGTCGGCTCTCCTGCAATGAACGACACGGTGATGGGATGATGACCGTCCAGCCTTCAAAGTGCTGCCTCGTATGTCAGGCCTGCTCGTGCGCTTGCTAATAGCTTAGACGGTCATTGGGCTGAGCTGCAGCGAGTCTCGATGGCGCGCACGCCAAACCACTTGGCTCGATTGCCGGTTTTGATCCAGTAGGGCTAATTGCTTCGAAAAGCTATTTCCTTATACCAAGACCTTGGTACGACATGTAGGATCCACGTTGTCCGTCGGCGTTGATGGAAGATCGCAACGCGGGATCTTGTTCGGGGCGTTGAAGAAGTGCCCCCGCGTCGGATTGGCTCATTTTATCCGGATTCGAAACCCGTGGCACGGCTCATTTTGCAGACTGCCGCCATGCTCGCCCGGTCGACCAGCGTCGACACGCAGCGCCCGATCGAGATCAACCCGCTCTCGCTCATCTCGTACGACAACATCCGCGACCTCCAGACCTTTGCGGGCCTTGGTACGTCAGCCGACGTGGCGCATCAACAGCGACGATGCGACTAGGCGACCTGCTCTCGCGGCCGTACACGCTGCCCAACTCGTCCGGTGAGCTCTCGCGCCGCTTCCAGCGCAACGTGCTCTTCTTCATCGCCAACTACGCGGTGGTCTTTGGCTTCTTTACCTTTCTCAACGCGTACGCATGGCTTGCTACGGCTTGCATGCTCACGCTGGTGGTCGTAGGCTCGCGGCGCCGCAATTCCTCTTTGTGCTCATGCTTCTCGGCGCGGGCTGGTTCTACTTTGACAAGCTCGCGACTGAAGAGTCGCTGCGGTCAGGGCCAACGTACTTCTTGGGCGTGCCGACGACCACCGAGCAGCGCAACACGATCCTCGTTATCAGTACGTTGCACCTTCTTCGCTCTCGTGGGTTGACCGCCGCCTAGCGTCGCTTGTGCTCTCGGTCATTTACGGCGGCCCCGTCTTGATGTACGCGCTGAGCTCGAGGTACGTGACTGACGAGGCTTGCGGACCGTGAACGACGAGACGATGTAGCGTCTTTCTGTGCGCAGCCCACGCGTGCCTTCGCAACGCGCAGCTGCCGACGGACGAAGAGATGGTGCACTTGCTGCACGTGCAGCCCGCGGCGCCGGAAGAAGTCCAGTACAAGCAGCAGACGTACATTGTGGTCTAGCCCAGTCTGCGTCGTTTTATGTATCGCTAAGTAGTGAAGTCGTGCGTTTCTGTTGACGCTAGCCACGTCAAGGGAGCAACCTTGCTTGACTCAAGCACGTATGTAGTTAGTTTAGTCTATACGCGGTGGTCATGCTCTTGCATCTTCCACGATGACCGGCCAATTCTGCTTTGGTCTTTGAGCAACGGTGTTGTCGCCGGCCTGGCGTCGAGACGACGAGGATTGGTCTAAATACATTACTTGCATCCAATCCAATGATCAAGAAATGCCAAATATCACGTATTATCTATCAATCATATCGTAGACCTAGCCCTATCCAAAGAACTTTGAGCGATTTAAGCAGGATGTCGAGCGATTTCGAGCACAATAGCTACAGCATTCAACTCCCCGCTTCATATTCTACTAGAATCCGTCGTAATCCCAACGACGATTTTTTTTCGAAAATGGCGACGGCCACCCGAGAGATCCCGGGCGCACGCGGAGAGCCATGCATTTTCACGTCTCAGCCTACCGATACGTCATTTGATTGGCTATATAGTGTGAAAATGTAGCCAATCACGTGCTGACATTGACGCGATCTTGGAGAGGCCACCGCATGGGCTTCAGCGAGGATGGCATGGTCGTGGACATGGCGATGATCCAGCGCCAGCTCGCGCTGCTGAGCTCGCTTGGCATACTCCAAGGCAACAACACCATGGACCGCCCTTCTTCGTTCAAAGCCCTCTTGGCATCACCGCCGTTGACGACGACGACTGCTGGATCGCCACACGAGCATGTACCTTTCGTAGCGCCTCTCGTCGTCGCCAAGACGCAGTATGCTACCGACCATCGCGCGCCACTCGTACGCACATGGCGTGCATGGCAAGAAGTCGTAGCCCGTGCCAGGCGAAAGCGCCATGTCGCCGGTCCTGGCCGGTCCCGCCGTCTCCAACGATACCTCTCTGCATGGTGCACGTACGCGGCACGCATCCGCGATGTTCACGACCGCACAGCTGCGCTGCTAGCATGGCGCCTCCGCCACACCGTCGCGCAGTGGACTTGGCACGTCCAGCGAGCACAGCGAATGGCGGCCATCGAGCTGCAATGGCGCGGCCGCCTCCGGCTGCAACCGCGCCGTCTTCTCGCCCGCGTCTTTGCAAAAATCGATCGTCATCGCCGGCGCCACGCCACCATTCGAATCTTGGTCGCCGTGCGCCAGAGCTGTCGAGCGCACGTAGTGTGGCGGCTCTTGCGCTGGAATGTACTGTACGCGCGCATGGCCATTCGCGTGCTGGCGCTGGCGTTTCCAACGTGGGCCAACGCAGTTGACGCTAAGGTCCACAAAGCGCACGCGTCGATGACAGCGCAGCGAGCGATGATCGACTGGCGGCTACATACGTTCGTCGGTCGCTGGTCGCACTGGTCAAGGCAGACGCGCTTCTCCCGCGCCGTAGACGAGCACATGGGCGGTCTCCGTCTCGCCCAAGCCTGTCGTCGCTGGCGCGCTATCTTGGACCACGCTCGCGCCGCCAGCATCTTGACGCGAATGTGCGCTCGCTCTTCCCAGCAGCGAGCGTTCCTGGCTCTTGTCCAAGCCACTTGTGCTGGTCGCGTGCGCTTCAAGATGCGCGAGCGGTATCTGCAGGTAGTCTTGTGTACTGTTCGACTTGTGGCGACCACGGACTCTGTCGATAGCAATGCATAACAACGTGGAAGACCCGCGCCGCGCAGAGTCTATCGACCGCGCTGCAGATGCTGGCGATGGACGACTGGCAGTGTCGGCGCAGCGTGCAGCGCTGGCACCACCACGTCGCGCACCAGCAGCGTCAGCGAGAGGCCGTCCAGTGGGCTGAAACTAAGTGCCTCCAGCGCCATTGGCTGCGCTGGTCGAGATGCCTTCCGCAACACCATCAGTCGTGGCGGCGCGTGCAGACCTGGTCGACGCACAAGCAAATGCGCCGCGCCTTTCAAAGCTGGCGCGCCTGGCTGAATGAGATGCGGCGCCAAAGCGTGCACTTGCAGCACGCGGCAGCTTTGCATCAGCGCCGACTCCAGCGCCGGCACTTTGCGTACTGGCGATTGTACCTTGCGCACCGCCAGCACAGCGCGCAAGCTCGGACGATGGCGACAAGATTTCATCGGCACCAATGTCTGCGCGCCGGGGTCGCAGCGCTCTGGATGCGTCAGCACCGCGACCGCAACGTCCGCGTCCGGCTTCGAGCAGCGACGCTGTGGCACCAACGAGCGTTGCTGACCCGAATGCTGCAGAGTTGGCAGCACCACGTCGCTTGGAGCCATCGTATGCGCCAGCGGCTCGACGCCTTTCACCGTCGGCGCACGAGGTACGCGTACTGGTTTCATCTTTGGCAGGCCGCTACGCTCGAGCAACAGCTCGAGCAACTTGGTGACGCGTGGTGGCGGCAACGACGACTGCCGGTCGTCTGGCGTCGCTGGCGACAAGCCGTGCACCAGCAGCAGTACACGCAGCTCCAGCACTCGAACATGCTACGATGGCAACTGCGTCACAGCGTGAAGCACTGGCGACAGCTCACTGTCCACTTGGTTCGACGTCGCCGCCGCCTCGATCGCTTTGTTCGACGGCGTATTCGCCAAGGGCTCCGTGTCTACTGGCAGACGTGGCGCCAGCAAACCCGTGCCCAGCGTGCAGTGCGGCAGTGCGGGGTCGTCGTGCAAGCACAGGTGCAGCGCCGCGTCGCGATTGCGTGTTACGTAAGTTGGCGCCACACCTTTTGTCAAAGGCAGTTGGCACGTCTCCACGCACACCGATGTGGTCGCCGACGCGCACGAGGAGTGCTATTCGCGTGGCGCGACGCAGCTTATCGCCTGATGCACACGCAGTGCATTGTGTCGTCGCTCGTCGCCCAGCGCCGCCGACAGCTCCTGGCCCGCGCTCTGTGCATGTGGCAACGCTACCGCCGCTGCGTTCGGCAGTCGGTGCTCGCTGCGTACATCGGCCACCGCGCGCAAATCCAAAGAGTGCTGCATCGTTGGAAGGCAGTGCGGATGCAACGTCGGTGTTGGGTCGTGTGGCACTGCTACGCGGCGCATTTGAGCCGCACTGCGCGAGTCAGCGGGCGTCAGCGACTGGAATGGCGGCGCCGTCGGCAACAGTCGCAACTGCGGGCTTGCTTTCGTACGTGGCAGCGGCTTTTGGAGGCCAAAGAATCGTACCTCGATGCGGTGCTGCACGTCCAACTGGTGTGTGTGTCGGACCTCGTGACGTACGTGCGTCATCGCGCCGCCGCGGATGGGTACTTTGTCATGGCGCGCTTTCGACACTGGCAGCGAGTGGCGACGCGCGGGAAGCGCATTGCTGACCAGCATTGCTTGATGCGCCGTGCGCGCCCGGTGCTTGTCGCGTGGTGGAAGCTCGTTTTGCAAGCCAAACAGACGTACTTGGTCGACCAGACGCGAGCGATGATGCGCCGGCATCAACGTGCCAGCGCGCCGTTGCGCAGCGTCGTCGACACGACGCCGTCACTGTCGACGTACGGCGAGCGGTATTTACAGCAACGAACGGCACCGCGGCGCGTGCCCGTCCGCCGGGCGGAGCCAACGCCGATGGTCCCATCGCCGAGAGACTCGACACTACTGCACTTGACGAAGAGCGAGGCATTGCCCCTAGCGTCATGGGACCAAGCCGACCCCGTAGTCACGAGCGCTAATGACGGCGAACATGCGGAGACTGTGCCGTCGTCATCAAGACGCGACGACCATGCAAGGAGCTTGACGCTGGAAGATCTCGCAGCCTTGAGCAGCAGCCACGCGTCACAAGTCAGCAGCCACGCGTCGCAAGTCAGCGAGGCCCCATCAACACCCAACGTACTGGAACGTACAGAAGCCCCGTCCCTGGCGCACAGCTCGGCAGCGTCGAGTACGAGCTCAATGCACCTGGCTGCGCTCATGAACGCGGACGACGACCTTCTGCCGCAGCGGTCTCAAGTGCCACCGCTGCATGACGACTGGTGCGACGTCAGCTGCATCCAACCAGCGAAACATACATTTGACGTGGCCGACCCGACTTTGCCCTTGGCGGTCGCCGAGCCCGCAGTTGCCCTCGCGAACAAAAATGAACCAGAGAGCGACGACGACCCAGCGGTGGCGGCACTGCTTGCAAAGCATCGGCGTCGACTTGAAGCGCTCTTTCAAGCCCACGCTTCGTCCAACATGCTCGCCTTGTCGTCGTTTCTCTTGCTGGCGAAAGCCACGGGCCTCTTTCCTGCGGTACAAGCCCCTCCTCGGCACATATCTCTTCATGAAGACGTAGCTTTTCACACGGCGCGAGCTCAGCATTAGCTTTGAAGCTGCCGCGTTCCCGTGAGCATCCATGATGATGTTGAGACCCATCGACAAATGCATCACCAACTAGAGCCACGACACTGACGCCAAGTACGTTTCTGCGCTGCCTGTATCGAATCGCCCAGCTGCTGCTTCGAGACAGCGTACGTCGTTGCGTTTTGGTGGTGTCTTTTGAGCGAGCTTGGATAGCCGGACGCCACGCCGTCGCAGCGACTCCAGGCGCTGCTCCTCGTGCTCGATGGTCACGGCTCGGTGCTGCAGGTGAACTCTTCGGGTATCCAGCGTAAGAGCCGACTGCGATGCATATTAGAAACCCATTGAGGTCGAGCCCAAATCGATCTCCAAGGCGCGTCAAGAGGCGAGCCGTGCGCGTGTTGATGCAATTTTAACCAAAGTGGCGGCCCAGCGCTTGGCCAAGCAGCGTAGAACACCCATGAGTTCCAGCCCTCGGCGTCGGTCGCCACGTACATAAATGTTTGTGAAGTATGGTATAACGCTGGCGAGTAGGCTGGACACGCGGCCCCCTGGATGAGGTGTACGCGGCGACGCCACCCAAAATAACGCCATCCGTCCTCGCCCAAGCGATGGAGAAGGCGCAGCTGCGACTGCTACGTCGGAATCTGGCGACACGCACGGCGCTGCGAAGCTACGAGCATTCGCGACACGACGCCGAGGGCGAGGTGGACCTCGCATCGTCGCTGCTCATGGACGTGGGCAGCCATTTGAGCTCGGTCGGACTCTCGACACTCGAGTAATTGGGCTTCGAGTGGAATCTGAAAGTCGTTGACATACAGAGCTGGACAGAGTTGTGCAGATCTCGGGCTTGCGGTTGCTACAAGCAAACCTTGGCTGACTTGTCAGGGGTGCACCCGTCTTGGTTCGGCCGGCGGTGATTCGGTTGGTCCAATATCTGTATCACTGACCGCAAGGCGCAGCTTTGGGGCGCAAGAAGCGGTAGGTGTCACAAGCATGGTTCATAAGCCCCATAGTGCAGGAAGCACCGGCAGTGTATCCCTGTACGTGAAGGCACTGTATGCTCTCATCCACTGTATAAAACAGTGTTTCGAATACGATGGGCGCAAGATTCGATTCTTTGAAGCGGCGCATGCAGGCGACCAGCGGCGAGCTCATCTTTGCGCGAATGCAGCAGAATGCAGAGGCAACGCTGCTTGGCGGCATGGAGCCGTCGATGGTCGCGCTCTTGAACGGCGCCGACGACCGGCACCGCGCGCACCTCGCGGCGCAGCGCACTCGCCTCGCCGCCTTGCGTCAACTCCATCGTGTACTATCGACGCGATCCACGGACCATTGCTCATGGTAGTGCAAACTAGCGCAAGGCCGATGCCCGCCTCGAGTCGCTCGCGCTCCAGAAAAGGCGTCTGCAGGGCGTGGCCCCCGTCGTCGACCGGCTGCGCCTGCTCCCGCAGCCGTATATTGATGCATACCACGGCCTGCACCGCGTGCTCGACCACGTGCTAATGACGCTCGTGCTCCGCTACTACGCGACGATCGAGACGGAGCTGCGTTACGTGCAGCAGTGGCTGCGTGACCAGGTCCAAGTAAGCGACGACGCTGCGTTGGCGGCCAAGGCCACTTTGCACTTGAGGTTGCCCTTTCAATCATGATTCCAGGGTTGACGGATATGCCAATGTAGTACGTTTGCCGTGTACCTCGAGAGCGAGACAGGAGGAGACGTGACGCTCCGTCGGCTCGAAGAGACGAACGCCCAGGGCCTCCGGTGTCGCCGGGCTGCGATTGAAAACGTCCGCAAAGGCTGGGGCTCGGGTACGCTCACACCGCGTATCGGATAAGAACCAAGTGGGTCATCTCGTGTAGAGATGCAGGTGCAGCACGTGTACAAGATGGAGCATCTCCCGCTGCTTGCGCGCTTCCAGGCCCGCGCACGCCTTGGCGGGCACAAGATCAAAGGCCTCTTCTGCTCGCTCCCAGCCGCCTCGCTGCCGCGCTGCGTGGCGCTAGGCTTGACTAGCGACGAGGAGAAGAATACGATAATCTTTAAGGACAGCTGGTACTCGATCCGAGGTCAGCGACACACGTACGCCCGCCATCTCGCGACGTCGGCGCCGACCATCGAGGTAACTCCTGTGATGGGAACAGAGGAGTGAGTGCCTCTAGTTGCCAAAGCGGTTCTCGCGCTACAGCACGCTCCTTGAGCACAAGGCCGACGCAATGACGTCATCTACGAGTGGCGAGCTCCGCTACTTGGCGCTCTGTCGCGTGGTCCTCGACGAGTCTTGCACCGAGTACCTCGACTCCGAGGTATCAATCTATCAGTATTTTCGCGGGTTCGAATGCAGAAAGATGAGCACTAGGACGAGTACGTCGTGCATGACGCGTCCTGCGTCCTTCCCGAATTCATCTTGCAAGTTTGTCGCTAGCAGTCGACTCCTCGGGATTCAATGCCTGCGTAGTATCGGTTTGTATCGTCCCATTCACCCGAGCCGCTCGCGACGCAGCTGCCGTGCGACGTGACCGTATCGTCCGTGGACGTGAGTGCGATCACGTCGCTGCTCAAAGTACCCTCGACGACTCAAGGACCGACAGCCGCGTCCATTGTGCTGTCGGCGCCTGTCCCGGCGCGCGGGCTGCGCAAGACCAAGCCCGAGCTTTTCGCGGCCAAGCGCGTGGGTCTGGACGAGGTGCGAGCCAACTGCAGCGGCCAGCGCGATGTCTTTGCTACCGCGATCGACGATTCGCTCGAGCGATTCTGGCGCCTCGTGCACCACAGCTGGACGCTTCACGCCCAGCACACGCTGCCACACGCCTCACCGCGCATACAGAGCGACGAGCGAGTTCTGGAGGATGGTGCTGAGAGCAGCGATCGCGCTTTTGTGCTGGCCAAGCAGCGCGCGCTACATTCACAAAAAGCCAAGATGAAGTTGCTCGGGAGTCCGTCTAGCAGTCTTCGGCCCTCGACGAGTCTACCGCACTTGAAATCGTAGCTAGTGGTTTAGACTGAACAAGCTTAGGAAGAGTTAGACTCTACTCCTATCGAATTGCTTCCAATGTTACATATGTGTTGGAATGCAGTTATGCAGTGAGTATAGACCAGGGGGAAAGTACATATATATTTAGGAACGTGTCTCGCGTTAAGTTCAGGACATAGACTTCGCGTAGAGATGCCTTCGTCTTCATGCGTTCACCGGGCGGTGGGTGCACAGGCGCGGAGGCTCGGCTTGCTCTTCTGTAGGACCAAAGTACATTGTTGAAATATCTCAAACGTTTGGGAAAAGCGATCTTGGTAAAGACAATGAGATCGAGCAAAGCTGTGTAGAATCACTCGTCTCACTGAACCTCACATTTCATTTTGCGATCCACGACACCGAGAGGATGAAGCTGACGGGAATGATCATGGCGGCGCTTCTCTCGACACTTGCATGGACGCTCGAAGCTCGCCTGCGCACCACGGCGACGACGAGCCCGACGCACCTCCCCGTGGTGGCACTGACGACCGCCCCGACGGAAGCACCGACGCCTGCTCCCACCGATGCACCGACGCCCGCCCCAACCAAAGCGCCGACCCCCGCACCCACCGACGCGCCAACGGTATGCGACGCCATCGCGTCAGGCGCCAAGTTTACGCTGCTGTCGCGCTCGCACGGCTACTTTGGTTTTTCCGAGACGTACCTCACGACAACATGGACAGCGGCGGTGCTCACCGCGTCGGCGCACCTCGACGGGTCCTTTGGCCTAAAGCTGGATGCCACACGCTACGTTCGCCCCAACACGGACAGCACAAACTTCTTTTATCGGACGCTCCAGTCGACGACCGACGCGTCGGACCCCGCGGCCGTCTTTACGTGCGTTGCGCTTGCCCCAGAGATTGTGACCCTCCTCGACTTTGAGGGATTCGCGCCGCAGCCAACGCCGTACTTGGGGTCGACCGACAACGCGATCCCGTACATTGTGAGCTCAGCCTACGACACCGTCAACGGACCGACGCCCGACCAAGCGTGGCTCGTTGCTTTTGTCTAATACACTCCTCTACTAGTACGTCTTTTCTAGTCCATGTACTATCAATGTCAGCAAGCCTGCCGCGCGCTTTGTAGCTGCGGTTCCATTATTGGAGCGTGCAGGTAGCCTCCGGTTCGCCTGCGAAACTGGTGTAGCTTTGCCACGTGAACTCGTAGGCCACAGATATGGCGCCATCGAGCCTACTAACGTTAGCTTCGATTCATGCAGGCAAGTGGCGGCGTGAGAAAAGCCAGGTACAAGGCAACGCTTCGACATACTTGCAGCTGCCATCGCATTCCACTCGTTCCGGCTCGGGCGAGTCCTTGTGTGTGCTTCGGTGGCTCACGCCGGGCGTCGCTTACGGTCGACGGTGACTTTGTGAATGGAGGAAGTCAGTCGCTTGGACTTGTGCCAGAGGAATGCTAAAGAACAAACATACTGTTGCGCTGCTTGTCGTGCGCTTGGGACTCTCCAGCACGTCGTCACCAACCGAGGATAAAGCGAGGATGGCCCTTCCGACGTGGCAGCACCATCTGTCTTGGCGCGTCGTCGAGTGCGTGCGCCTGGCATTCTTATGGTGCACAGCCCTCGACGTGGATTGGCTAAAAAGATGACATTTCCGTTAAGTGCGCCTGCGATCCAAAGTGCACTTGAAGCAGCCGCCAGATCCTCGGGACCTATTTGGCTTTTGAGCACCTTGGCCGCATGCTGACGCCCCGCTTCCTCTTCCGCGCTGCCAAGGCCGCCAAGCAGACCCGCTGGGGCCTGCGCCACACTGGGCTCCGTGGCCTCGCGACGGCGCCCGTGCCCCCGACGCCGGCCAGCACCAACGTCATCCGCAAGCTGCTCTCGATTGTCTCGTCGGACGCCGACGTGGCCGAGTACAAGGCGACGTATGGCACACCGGGCGTGCGCCGAACGACCGTCATCAAGATTGGCGGCGAAGTGCTCGAGAACGAGATGGACACGCTCGTCGCGTCGCTCACCTTTCTCAAAGAGGCGGGGCTCTTCCCGATCCTCGTCCACGGCGCGGGCCCGCAGATGAACGACGAGCTCGAAAAGGCCGGCGTCGAGCCGCGCTACGTCCAAGGCAACCGGTACACGGACAAGACGACGCTCGGGATCGCGAAAAAGGTCTTTCTCGCTGCCAACCGCAAGCTCGTTAACGCGCTTTCGGCCGCGGGCGTGCCGGCGCGGCCCATCACAAGCGGAGTCTTTGAAGCCGCGGTGCGGGACCTCGATGTCTTTGGCTACGTGGGCGAGGTGGACACGATCCACGGCGACGCCGTGCGGTCGGCGCTCGACGCGGGTCAGATCCCGGTCCTTTCCTGCCTTGGCGAGTCCAAGGACGGGCAGCTGCTCAACATCAACGCCGACGTCGCGGCGCGCGAGCTCGCGATCACGCTCCAGCCGCACAAGACGATCTTCATCAACGCCAAGGGCGGCTGGCTCGAAGACGGCGTCAAGTTGCCAAAGCTGGACATGAGCAAGGACTATGCGAGTATGGCGGCGCGCGACTACACGGGGCGCCAAGGCACCTTGCTCAAGCTCAACGAGATCAACACGCTCTTGCAGGCGCTACCATCGACGTCGTCGGTCGTGCTCACGTCGGCGGCCGCGCTCGCCAACGAAATCGTGTCGGGGCATTCGGCCGGCACCGTTTGCATCCGTGGCGGCCATGACGTCGACGCGCCGTTGCACTTTTCCAGCGGCAAGAAGAAGGTCGGGCTCATGGGCGCGCGCGGCTACGTTGGCCGCGAACTCATCCGCGTCCTCGGCGGCCACCCAGAACTGGACTTGGTCGTCGCAAGCTCGCGCGCACTTGTGGGCCAAAAGGTGTTGGATCTCGCAACCGCGCCGCCGCTCAACCCGCACACGAACCGCCCGGCGACCGGCGTCTACCACACGCCACTGCGGCTCAACCCCGAGCTCGCATTTTCGTCGCTTGACGACAAGGACTTGGCGACGTCCCCGATCGCGCGGGATGTCGACGTGTGGGTCCTCGCGCTGCCCAACGGCATGTGCCAGCAGTACGCGACCGCCCTCGACGCGCTCAACGAACCCAACCAAGTGGTGATCGACCTCAGCGCCGACCAGCGCTTCAACAGTTCCTGGGTCTACGGCCTGCCCGAGACGCCGGGCACGCGCGACAAGCTCATTGGCGCGACCCGCATCTCCAACCCGGGCTGCTACGCTACCGGCGCGCAGCTCGGCGTGCTTCCGCTTTTGCCGTACCTCGATGCGGCCGTGCCACCGCATGTGTTTGGTGTCTCGGGCTATAGCGGTGCCGGCACAGGGCTCTCGCCCAACAACGACGAGACGGTGCTGCACGACAACTTGCTTGCGTACAAGAGCGTCGAGCACATCCACGAGAAGGAAGTGAGCCACCAGCTCGGGACGCGCGTCGCGTTCATGCCCCACGTCGCGCCGTGGTTTCAGGGCATCCACCTCACACTGTCGCTGCAGTTGACCCAAGACTTGTCGGACGAGGCCGTCGCGGCGCTGTACGAGTCGTTTTACGCCAACGAGCCGCTCGTGCACGTGCAGTCGCAAGGCGTGCCGCAGGTCAAGACGAACGCGTGTCAGCACCACGCGACCATCGGCGGCTTTAGCGTCGACCGCCTGCACAAGCGCGTCGCGCTCGTGGTGACGATCGATAATCTTCTCAAGGGCGCCGCAAGCCAAGCGATGCAGAACATCAACTTGGCGCTGGGCATGGACGAGCGTCTCGGACTGCATTAACTGCGAGCAATATGGAAAAGTATTACTTTCTTGTAGTCTCAGGATTAGACGAGCGTATGCGGTCGCGCTATGGGGCAAGTGTGGCGGTTGAGGAAGCAGGAAGAAATTTGCGTAGCGTGTTGCGGCCAAGGTAGGAACCCAGATGCGTTGCGATACCGGTAGTAGACTGGAGGAACAAAGAGGCGCACAGAGATGGACTTGGGCTCCGATATATATGGACTTTGCGAAAGCACGTGGGACAAGATGGCGCCAAAGCACCGCCACGGCGCTGGGATCGGAGGCTGACAGACAGTATAGACCGTTCGGACTTGGACGATGTGCAAGTTACGAGTAGTCGCTAGGATGCCGCCATGGGATGCTGCGCATAATATATATCAATATATCAATTTGTCTATTTGAAGTCATCCGTTTCGGTATATTCTATGCACTCTTCTTGGCCTTCTTGGCCTTCTTGGGCTTGACAACCTCTTCTTCTTCGTCTTCGACCGTCTCTTCGACCTTGGCCTTCTTGGCCTTCTT